GGCCGGCCCCCGACCGGAACAGGCCGCCCCCCCGAGCACCCCCCGGCAGAAGGCGGCCCGGCCCCCAGGACCGCGCCCCGACCCCCTCCCGAAGAGCGAACCCGGGGCAATGGCCATCGGGGCGGGGGGGGGGGAAGGCCCAGGCGCGTCGCCTCAGCCAGCCGAACGCGCCGTCGAGCCGCCCCGTGCGGGCGCACAGATGGATCATGATAGAGTACGTCCTACGGGAGGGGGCTCGGACGCGGCTCACAGAGGACTCCGCCGATCCGCACCCGGGGATCCAGATCGGGAGAGGCCGCTCGCTCGGCGCCAGCCCCGCGGCGCGCAGCTCTGCAAGAGTCGCCGCGGCCAGGGTGAGGTTGCGGGCGCGCGCGCAGCCGTCGAGCAGAGTGTTGTACGTCACTGTCGTCGGCGTGAGACCGCGCCGCCGCATCGCCGCCGCCACCGCGAGCGCCTTTTCGAGGTCGTGCGCCTGCAGGAAGCGTCTCGGAAGTGTCTCGGAAGTGCCTAGGAAGTGCCTGGGAAGCGTCGACCACCTCTCGAGGCCGCGCACTTTTGCGAACGCATTGATGAGCGAGTTGTGCGTGAGCTCTCGGAAGTGTCTAGAAAGTGCCTAGGAAGTACCTTTGCGAACGCATTGATGAGCGAGTTGTGCGTGAGCTCTCGGAAGTGTCTAGAAAGTGCCTAGGAAGTACCTTTGCGAACGCATTGATGAGCGAGTTGTGCGTGAGCTCTCGGAAGTGTCTAGAAAGTGCCTAGGAAGTACCTTTGCGAACGCATTGATGAGCGAGTTGTGCGTGAGCTCTCGGAAGTGTCTAGAAAGTGCCTAGGAAGTACCTTTGCGAACGCATTGATGAGCGAGTTGTGCGTGAGCGTGTCGGGCTCGATGCCGCGCCGCTGCATGTCCTTGTAGTAGGCGGTCGCGAGCCGCGGCTGGCGCCAGGTGCCCGCGCGGGCGATGAGCGTGCCGTACGTCACCTGCGTCGGCGTCAGCCTCGCATCGAGCATCGCGCGGAAGACCTCGCCCGCCTCGGCCAGCGCGCCGCGGTCGCCGAGCAGCCGCAGCAGCTGGTTCACCTCGCGCACGAGGCCGACCTTGGCCGCGGCCGTCGTCGGCGGCTGCCGCAGCGCCACCTTTGCGCTCGCCAGAGCGGCGCTCGCGTTCCCCGCTGCCGCCGCGGCTCGCGCTAAGTGCAGAGTGCCGCCGCCGCCACCGCCGCCACTGCGGCCGCGGCCGCGGCCACTCGAGCGCTCGACGCCTCGAGAGAGCGCGGCAGAGAAGTCCCTGCCGCCACCGAGGACGGCCGGCTGAAAGCGGCCGCGTGCGCCGCGGCTCGTGGGTGCATCCATCTCCAGAGCTCTAGCGCGTGCCACGCCGCTTGGCAGCGCGCGGCGGAGCACGAACGCCGGCGTCTGAAGCGCAGACGCAGCTGCTAGCAGAATACCGGCAAAGGGGCTCATTCGACGAAGAGGTTGCCCGCGTTCGGGAGCACCACCTCTGTAGATAGCACGAGCCCCGTACGACGCGCTGCCGTCGGAGCTCAGAGCGTCGACCAAAAGAATACTGTCCCGTTTTGCTGTTCACAGCTAGGGACGGCCTCTGCGGCAAAGTCAAATCACCCCCACCACCCTCCCTCCCTACCACCACAGGCAAACCTTCGGCTCCCGCTCAGAGGCTCGCCGCGCCCGTGCGGCGCGCCGAGGCGGCGCCGAGGCCGGCGCCTTGCACCCGGCCCGCGGCCGGCACCGCCTCGCCCCACAACTGACCGCCCTGCGGCCCCTGCGCAGGCGTACCACAGGCGTCGCTCAAAAAGCGACGCCGGGTGTGGGCTGCTCCCTTGACCCGTCACGGGTGCGGCGCGCCGAGGCGGCGCCGAGGCCGGCGCCTTGCACCCGGCCCGCGGCCGGCACCGCCTCGCCCCACAACTGACCGCCCTGCGGCCCCTGCGCAGGCGTGCCACAGGCGTCGCTCAAAAAGCGACGCCGGGTGTGGGCTGCTCCCTTGACCCGTCACCCGCCGCGCCCTCGCCCGGCCGCCTCACCGCTCACGGAGCGCTCGGCGGCTCGCCGCCGCCGCCGCGCTTCCCGCGCCGCCACGCATGCCCCTTGCCCTGACGCGCGCGCTCTGCAGCGGCGC